CTTTTCTTCTTTTTTTTTTTTTTACCTTGCTGAGTTCGTCGCAAACCCACCCTAATGTGTGCTAGGTTTGCGACAAGCTCGCACTCGAACCTAGGTGTGCGCTTGGGTTTATGAAGAACCCGTGTGCACTTAGGTTTGTCTTGGGTTGCTTGAGTTGGGTTCGTTGCAAACCCAGCTTGCGCCTAGGTTCGAGGGCGTGCTCGTCGCGAACCCAAGTGCGCGCTAGTTGTGAACTCAACGCTTACTTGGGTTTGGGCATGCTTTCATCGTGAACCCAACTCACGCCTGGGTTCGGGTGCGTGCTTGCAGCAAACTCAACACGCATTTGGGTGGGTTCGTGATGAACCCAGTAAGGTTAAAAAAATAAAAAAAACTAAAAGGGTGAAGTGTTGACATGGACTCAAAAGTATGTCCACGTCATTTTTAGTTTTACAAAGTGGATTTTTCACATCACACAATTTCGTTAATTAATTATCACTTGTCAAAAAATTTAACGGAGGAACCAAAAAAAGCTGAATTTCAATCTTTAAGAACTAAAAAAGGGATTTTTTCGATATATGGATCAAAAAGTGACTTTTTTCAATAATAGAGAGACCAAAAAAGGTATTTAACCCAAAAATATTAATCTACATTTTTTTACTCTAATGAAGCTACTTGCTAGTGCCTCGAAAGTAGTTTCATAATATCATCCAATTCTTTCCTTCCCCCCAAAGGATTAAATAATATTATGAAGTTCAAGCTCTTTAGGTGGAGTCGAGCTTAAATTGACAAGAATGGAACACATAAGAGCCGAGGGAGGCCACCCCAAAAATATTTTAGTTATATACTCCTAGGTATTTTTATTTATTGATCCCTTAGGAATTTCTTTTTAAGTTACACTCTTAAAAAGAATTTTTGCCCCCTTTAAATTTTGGTTAAGTTTCATCCTCGCAAACTGAGTAATGCGCGAGCAATTCATTATTTACAGCCTAATCTAGAAGCAAAAATGGTGGGCAACCAAACCATCATGGAGTTTTGGCGTTTACTCCTTTTTCTTTTTTTCAGTGGTAATTATTGAAATAAAAGGGATTGGGAATAGATGTGGTCTAAGATGAAGTTCTAATGATTCTCATACCGCTTGTTTGAATTGACTGAAAGGCAATAAATTTTCCTACTTGATTTGGTTCGTGGTAATTAATTAATTTTTTTTTTGAAAATAGGTAATTCGTGGTAATTAATTTGGTCGCTATGGTTAGCCAGAAATGAGGCAGTATTTCAACACAAAATCCCGGATGTCAGGAAATTATTTGATCTGATACAAGCACACTCATTTTATAGGGTCAAAGGCAGTGGCGGCTGGCAAGGCATTTCACCCACCGACTGGATACCCCAACCTAGACCAAGAAGCAAAACGATGCTTACAAAGAGGGTTAAATGATGTTTCTTTCTTTTTTTCTTTTTTTTGAAAGACAAAACATATTTTTATTTAATTTAAAGTATAAAAGATATTTTAATTCATACAAGACAATTAAAGTATATAATTTTTTGTGATAATAAAAAATCAATAAGTTTCATTACTTAAATATTACTCCCTCTGTATTAGAATAATTGATTTTTTGTTTTATCTTCAAATGAAAGATTTGAAAACAATTTTTATTTTTACCTATTTTATACTTAAAAAATAACTAAGAATAAATATCTACTTTCATTAGAAAATAAATAATTAAAGTTAAGAGATAATTATAAGGTTAAAGTAGGAAAAATTATTTATCTTCCTCAAAATAAAAAAAAAATACTATTATTATGAGATAAATTTTAAATAAAAAATATCAATTATTTTGGGATAGAAAGAGAGTATATTAATTTTTTTTATTAAAACATATCTACTAATAAGTATAAAACAAAATTTTAAAACAAAATAAAAAAAACTTACAAAACTTTAAAATTAAAACCCAATATAACAATACATGATTCATATAAAAAGAGATAGTATT